AAAGAAGTTTTTACGTGCATATTGATAATTATCTATACGTAAAATAATAATTAAACAATTAATGACGAACATTCGTATGCATTAATACCTGCGATATACAGGGTGTTTGCGAAATCGTGGTACAACAAGCAAGGGGATGATTCCTCACATAAAATCTAGTCGAAAACAAGGAGTATAATATTTTCATATGGGGCGTCGCATTTCGGTCACTTTCAATGAAACAAAAGAATACTGACGCATTCCACATATGGCGTATGGTGTAAGAAATACTTGTCTGATGCGACCACCCACCGGTCAATCCCTCCAGGAACTACCATAACGTTTGGCTACCACTGTTATAATCCTGTTGAAGTTATCGATCCGTGGATCCAGGATACGTGAAGCCACGGGACACAAGCGAGGCATGATACCGCAACATTGAAGCATTTACTCGTTTTACATTACATCATTATACGTTAATGGCGAGCGATATGCCTAGCGAATTACGATCGTAGATTAATTAATACCGCTGGGCTACTGCGTATGCATCAAAGTGACCCCGATCGATAAGTTCACATCCTGAAATGTATTTTACGGTATCATTTATTAAAAGTAATAATAGACCGCGAATTTTATACATTTATAGGAAGATTAAATAAAAGAGTGTATGTAATGTGTAAAAATATATTAAAAGCTCTCATGCATGTCACGATGCTTAATTATAAAGAGATGTAGTCTAATAATAAAGAATTTTTGGCAAATATTGGGAGAGACGTTTATATATCGGCAAGATATTTTAAGTGAATTGTGTTCTCCATTCTAAGGACGTCACGTTTGCACATAGAAGTCCTTGACAACCCTTTTGTCCTGGATAGGAATCGTGAGGTACTCGATCGGTCCCTTTAGTCGCTGGTTAACCGCAGAATGTCTGCTGGCGAGCACGTACCTAATTTATAGGTAATTTTATGGGTATGCATTATAATGCGTGAACGCTGGGAAACATGGATTTATGATCTCCACTTGGGTTCACCGTTTTTTTCTTCAATGCAAGAAATTTATGATTGTTGGTCACTTTCGAAGATAAGTACAAAAACGATGAGTTATTTCTTTATAACTACGTAGCACCTTATTTCGTAACAAGTGCAGTTTTATTAGAATTATGAAGTTCTAATTCTCCGAACTCGTGTCAGAATTCTCATAGCCTACAGCAATACCTGTGGTAAAACAATCGAGATCGGGTGAGCTGCAGCTCCCTAATCAGACGAAACCGTGAATCACGGACGCCTGGAAGCTCGGAATTGATTAAGAACGGTAAATTAGCCATTAACCGAGGAAAACATCGTGAGACCGGCTTCCTGCTTGGGGCCAGCAATTAATGTCTGCTTTTTTTCACGGTCACCCATTGCCGATACAAGAAGTTATCTCGTTCCTTTGACGTGTTCTCGACTTGCACACCCCTAAGCGGAGAATGCAATAAAATCATATCTACCAAAACCTATCCTCTTTTCATAATTTTTCTTAATGTGCGAATTATAGCCTTAGTTTATTACCTGTGGAAATGGAATTTAAAATTTTAGGCTTTTGAAACTATCGAAGATTTGTTCAAATTACGAGAACCGTACATGTTTTCCTTTGATAGTTAATTAAGATTGTTTCACAAATCTAATCATTTGTGTTCTTATTTCAATTTATCTGGCTGTAGATTAAGCGACGAGGATAATTTCAAGTGGGAGATCGTGACTGTACTACAGACAGAATGCGCCGCATACTTTGACAATAAAGAAGCGGTAACTTGTTAACCGCTATTTTACGAGCTATAACATGATAAGTTTTCATTGTTCTCTTTCAAGACGGGAATGAAATTTTTAATTGCCGGGCTCTATCTTCTACAACAAACATTTACTGACTTACTAAAGTACCGAACTGATAATTGTTCTATCGAACGAATTTCATTTAAATACTTTGTTTGTAACACATTTATCGAAAAATGCAGTAAAACGTTGATTCACATGCCCAACACGTTCGGGACTGTTCGCGACCTCAGACTTCCCGGAGGCGAGCACGCTTTCTTCAACCCCTTTCTATATAGATCAAAGCGAGATAAAAGATGAAGACGACTGTACAAGCGACAAGTTTCTATTTTGCGGGCCATTTATCACCCCTTTCAGCGGAAACATCGTCACCCATTAGCACCGACACTCCGCTTGGCAATTTGTAACGCGGTGCTCGTGCAAGTCTCATAAATCGCGCGCGGACGTTTTGTCGCAGCGCTGCGTCGCGATCTGACTTTCAAATGCGTAACTGTACGGTCAGCCGCGGGTGGTACGCAAGCGGAACGGAGGAGGTTTGAATTTCAGACCGGGCGCGTTTCTCACAGGGACGCGGAATCGCTCGCGGCGATGATCGTGAGCGAATCGTGCCGGGGCGCTGCAACTGCACTGCGAAGCGGCCGCGAATCGCGCCAATTATGCTCCCATCCTCGCGACGCAGATCCGCGACCGCTTAAGTACAAAGATTTTCCGACATGCCCGCGGCGACTGAAAATATCCCGAGCTACCTGACGCCGGAATAACGGAATTGAAAGACGATCGTCTTCCAGTTCAACCTCTCTTCCTCCTCCACCGACATTTCTTTTCTTTTCTTTTCTTTTACCACAGCTTCATTTTACCTTGTAATTTCTGGGAAAGAAGAAATTGCTGGCTGAACTTGATAGGTTTCATTATATTCAGAGATTTTCATACTTCCAATAACGTTACGCCAGATTCCGTGACTGTTTGAACCTTTCAGATGGTTGTTGATCTTGCACTGTCTAATTATATACTGAACTAAATTAAGAAAACGGTTGTTGAAATGCATTCAAGTCGAAGCTCATAGTACTTGAAGCTATGTACATGAAATACTCGACCTTCTTTCATTTTTAATGAATTTTTCGGGCACTTTATATAACACTTTTTAATTAGATGTCTGGATCAAGTACTTGGAAACGTATTTATTTCTGCTACCAAATATAATCCCTAGATATCCGGCAACTCGAGACTCGAGTAAGATTAATCACTCACCCTTTCCCCTCGTACGGGAGATCCTCCTCAGCAATTAATGTTAAGTTGGAACAACTTGAACGTCGATCGATGATCGATGTTAAAACTCGCGTAGAAGTCGAAACGATTAAACGTGTATCGCACGCGAATCGTACGCCCACGTTCGCGTGTAACACCGCGCAAGTGATTAACGGCCGCCGTCTAGGATCCTCGTGCAATGTACTTTACTCTCGTACTCGGTCGTCCCACGCCTAACACCTTCCGCTCTATTTCGCTCCGCGCCGCCAGCGAGCGAATGATAATTACGAGGCGAACAGGATGATCCGTTCGCGTAAACGCAAACAAGTAAAAACCGTACGAAATGTCTTAACGAGACTTCGAGTCCTGGCTTTTACCGCGTTTACTTCCTGAACACTCTCGCGTTGACGCGTTTCTTGCGGTACTACATCATCCCCTGAACACGGTGTGTTTGCGAGCTCTTGACGCTTCCTGGTGAGCACAGATTACGTTTCTTCGAGGGATCCTTTTAGTTTAAGCGTACATTCGGAATAGCTACATATCCGGTCAAATAGCACAAAATCTAGCCTGTGTAATTTTCTACCAAATCGAGGCTATTTCTCAAAAGCCTGTATCAAGAAATGGGAAAAACATGAAACGTGCTTTTACAGTTTAAGGTATAATGATAAATATTAGGTAGTTTTTATTCAGCATAATTGACGAACCGATCTTGGTCTGGATTTTGGCAAATAGGGCAAGAGGAACTTCTATTGTGTACAGAATTAAAAAGTTCACGCCGAGCTATGCTCTCGCAATTAGCAAACCAGAAAGAACTGCTCTTACCTGTCATTAAGAGGAGTCAACGTTCAGGTGCGTTTATCTGAATAACAGAAATCACGCAACTACCGACCGTTTCATTACCACCGGTATAATAAGTATTTATTCAAGGTGAACGTGTAGTTGCCGGCGAATTACGGATTGAACGTATTAAAACGAGAATCGATTTTCCGGAGCGGCTTTTTCTAATTAATTTAGAACGGATCGCGGTTAATGTTCTTTACGATGTGCTATTCTACAAATTTTTATTCGACGCTTCCTTCCAGCGTAACGAAGTGAAAAAATTGTTAGATCGTTCCCAACTTCGAGAGATTCTCCACAATCCTAACACATTTCTACGGTCACTGGACCATTAAAACTAAGTCACGCTTTTCGCTAAGCAATCTCCGAGGTGTACAAACTACAGGGTTAAAGCCGGCGGGATCAATGTCAAAGAAAGAGACCCGTTATATCAGATCGCTAGAAAGGAAGTCGATGAAGTGCGACCGACGCCGCGATAGAAGAAGTAGGGGTAGCCGATCACGAAGAAGCCAAGAGAAGGAGGAAGTTCGCTGAGCAAAAAACGGGGAACGAATTCATCGGTTCGCTGTATGAGAACCGGCGAGCTGACGTGGATCACAACGCGTTACCTTCATCTCCTACCTACTCGGGATCATCTCGCTGCTCATCTCGCCGGCGTCTTTATCATGACATGACTCATCCTGTCTGTGTTCCTGGTTCTTCAAGTACTATGGGAACTGCGAGCATTTCGAACCGAAAACGAGAAGGTGAAGCGCGTTTCGTATGCGAGGCATGCAGCCTCTGCTGACGCATTGACGAGGATTCTCTCGATCCCGCGCGGCGATTAGGCCAAGTCACGCGTGGCAATGATCCGATTATGGTTTCCCGCGATTTCTATCCGCCCGTTGTCCTTCGTTATTATCGCGAATCCGCGTCTACCCGCGGCGAACGGACGTGCGCGTTCCCAAGACCGCGCGCGGCGTTCTCAGACCGCGCGAATTTTCTTCACGATGTTCAGGGAAATGTTAAATATCTTTCATATCAAAAAATCGAATACGTGTAAAGAGAATTTTGAAAACATTCAGAAATTGTAATAACAATAATCGAGGGTGTGAATGAAATAACGAACATCTTTCTCTTCTGTTCCAGATATGCAACCGTGTGGTTGTTGATGGTAGCAACGCATCATTGCCATGTAAGTTCTGACAGACACGACTCCTGGATAATTTTTTTCATACGATTCCGTCCGATTCGAAATTCAATATATAAATAATTTTCAAAGGCAACGAGTCAGAATGGAGAGGAGGACGCAAATGGAGAGGACTCGGTGCTGGATGAAACGACCGAGGACTATTGGGCCGGAAGCGGATCCGGCCCCGATGAGAGTGACTCGATTCATAACGAGACCAGAGAAGCGTTAACTCACGAAGCTAGCGACCACGATGCCGTGAGTATCCGTTGCTCGACTTGAACTGCAAACCCCATTACGCGTGTCAATATGGCCAAGACTTCCCTGTAGGTTAATCATCTTCTAATAAGCTGAATTACTGTTGCGAACATCTGTTGCGTGATTTATCTTCGCTCTGCCAGAAGGGATTTGTTTAGGTAGCGAAAGACTTTTTCCTGTTTTGGGTAGCGAACGGGAAAGCTGTTCTTTAAGCGAATCCTATGTATTTTCTGCATGATCGATTATTTAGAAGATTGACGCGTGTCTGCCAGTCGTTCGTTCATGGCTACACTCGATGAACAGTTACGCAGAAACCGCTTATTATTTTTCGTTTCGCGCGCGAAATAACCAGCCCTCAACGGAGAGGAGATAAGTGATCCCAAGAATCCGTACACAGTACATTTTCAGCTCTTTTTCTTGATGGATAATCGGCAGACTCTTGCTTGGCATACCTGCTGAACTGAATACCAACGCAACAATGTAACAAATCGCAAAAGAAGAGACCGTAAAGTAAACCCAAGAAGCGGATATTTTGGAATCTAGTTCAGCCACAACCGATTTCTTATCGCTAGCAACAAAGATTTCGGTTCCGACGGAATTCACGAAAGACGCTAAACGATCGGATGATGTAGTTTTGATTGGGAAACAAGTGTAGGTCAGGGTCAAGCTAGCGTTCATGTTTAAGTTAAGAGAGATAAGTGCATTCACCTAGCTCTGACCGATCGTAGCTCGACTAATGGCTTTCGACACTCTAACCGCGCGACCGTTAATCATCGCATGAATGCTCGTATCGCGATGAGACTCAGGAAACCATAAGCAACAGGCCATGGAAGATGCTGATCTTGTCTCAAAAGGAGCATACCGTCCGCAGACGTCGCATCGTATGACGCGTGCTAGATTTGAAATTAATTATGCAGATGGATGAGAAAAGTCTTTCCTCATTTTATTTATTTGAAATATCAAAACATAGAAATTGGAGAATTGCAGACACAGAGGCCACAGATATGAGTTTCAGATAGCAAGCGATGCACCTTCTAAGTGAAATTCAAAAGTGCAAATTTATTTCTTTAGAAACTGTTCATTTTATCTGTACTCTTTTCATGAGTTTAGGTTTTCAATAAGCATTCCTCGAAACCTCTCAAGTCAGTTTCCTCCAGCCCTTCGCGAAACCGAGACATAAGATACGAAACGATCGAGTAACCACCCTAGTAGACCATAAACGTCGCTCGAGTTGCGGAAATGCCAGAAAAGTGGAATCCGTGAAAAGCAATAATTCCAGATGTTCGCGAGTGGAAAAGGAGGCGGAGGAGAAATGCCACGTGTCAGATGTTCACACGAGCGAACAACACGTCTGAGAAGAATCCGAGGTGGAATTCGAAATCCGTCGCTTTGTACGTAAAAGCTGCGGTAACAGGCAGAGGAATGGGCGGAAACGGGGGCAAGAAAGAGGCGAAGAAGAGCGTGTAACGACACGATTGTTTCCACTGGCACCGGCATATGGAGGCTGTTTGCTGGCTTTTTGCGCGGTCCGCCGTTTACCACCAACCACGTGTCTCCTCTTACCTGATCCAGCTGAGCGAGGATATCTGAGACCGTCGCGTAGCTACACGCTGAGATAGTGTAAAGGAAGATGCAGTGCTTTTTTACTCCGACGCTGTTTTGTAGGTATTAATCTTGAAGCACTGGCGGCTGATAAGAGAGGGTTATTCTGTACAACTTCTTACAGTTCTGTGTTTTATTGGAGTTCGACTGTGATATATTTTTTTACTAGTGACAGAATAAATGTGTACGTCAAAGACTAATTCTAGTTAAGTCATCTCTGATGCTTGTAACTATAAGGATTTTTAGATATCAAGAATTGTGCATATTATATTCAAATAAAAAGTATACGAAATCAAGGTGAATTATTAACACCAGAATTGCCAAGCTAACAAAATTCTCCTTTTGAAATCTCTATTGTCGGACACTGACGCACGTTCTCAGTTCCATAAAGTACGTGCAATGAAAAAGAAGGAAGATTCCTCGCGATCGTTGAATAAGTGGAAGCCACAGGTTGCGCGACAAGCGAAACCGAGTATTATCCGAACGAGTGTGCATCCCAATCGTACACGATTCGAGACGCTCACACTGGCATTGGGGCGTTAGTCACGCGCCGCGATGTTCTTTTCCTTCTCGCCTCGTCATTTTCCCTTTTCCTTTGCAACCGCTCGTTTCCGCGCAGAGAATTGCGGCTACAGTCACGGTGTGCGTAAAAGAGACATTAAACTTTTCTCTCTCTCTCTACGATTCCAACGTTTATTGTGGAAAATATGTTTTATTTCCTCTTTGAAACTTCACTATCTTTTGTAAGCAACAGTTGCAAGCAAAAATACAAGTTGATTCTCCTGTCATTTTTACGTTACAACGAGAAAAAATGAATTTATGCATGAAAAAGCAAAATCACTTTAGAAGTAACAAAAAAGTAATAAAAAGCAGTCCGCAGTTCTATAGCACTTTTTCGATTAAAAATTGTATCGATTTTTAACGAAGGTGGTGTACGTCGGTGAGGGGGCGGCATACGTACCGGTACCATCGTTAAAAGGGCGACCGTTGAGCCCAAATCTGCAAGCCCTCCAGACGCTACAGGGTTTACAAGGAATTGCTGGAGGCGGCGGAACAGGAGTGGTTGGAGATGACGACTGGAAAAGACAGCCGGAGTCGTGGGACCGTGAACATAGGAGATACAGGCCCAATACTACACGAGTACAACGTAAGTACGAATTCTAAGTACATCAATATTACGTTTTTCATTTATACAGATATTTTTGAAATTTCTATATCATCAAGATCTACATATATCACATTCCTATCGAACTAAACACTAGAACGGATGAACTCCATCGGAACAGCAATCTATCTTGTTTTGTTGTCTGAGACCGTTATCACACACGTATTCATATCCGCTATCTGTTATTGCCATTTCTGTCTAAGTCCAAAGGGAGACGCCGCCGCTGACTAAAGCCAGGAAGTATTTGATCAATTGATCCATCAGGAGTTCTCTAGATTCAGAACGCGATGTTGAATGGCTACCGTTAGAGTGGACGCAATTAAAACGGTGTCGGAAAGTCGTACGGCACTCCCGACACCAAAAGATCGTGCACAGCATTCGTATCTCTTTCGATCAACTGCGAATCGTTATTATCCGCGTCCGTATCGATCGAGGACCCCTATGGATCGTATCTCGAGAAAGTGGTGACCCGTGGCGGCCGCAATTCGTGAAATTGCGCGTTTCAGTTGTTTTTCCCCAATGGACCGAGCCTCGAGGCGTGTCGTACGAGGCGTTACCCGCTTGTTCGTCTCCTTTATAATTCCAGAGATTTACGCTACACAGGTTCACGAGGTCTGGCCGCGCACGAGAAACCCGGACAGTAATTGCACGCAGGTTAACGCGTTGTTCGCGAGAAGGGGGGGAGAGAGGGTGGCTTAATTAAGAGGTGCATGATTACGAATCGTTAAAAGATCGATGCGTTTCCGAAATGGACGCGCGAGCATGAGGATGCTTACCGATGATGGATACGCGAGCTCTCCAGAGACCGAATGAAGTCGTAAAGGGCCTCACCGCGGGATTCGCGGCGGCCACCCGCGGTATCGTCAATTACGCGAAAGAAGACCCATTAGCTTTAATGCATCCTCTTGTGCACGCTTGAGACTACTCAGACTCCAACTTTGCTCGTTGCTTATCCTATCTCTTCATCATCGTGTCTGTTGGACACTACTTTGCAGTTTCCTTCTTTTCTCATTGCGTTTCTCTGCAAAATATACCCCCATTAAAGTAAACTCGTGTTTTTGAAAGTAAAAGTTTATTGTAAAGGCGACCCGGAAACGAGACTTCGCGATAAATAATTTTCGAGATGACTTGGCGCCTTCGCGATATAATTGCTGGAAGGAAGAGTGATGATCGAGCTAGATACGCAGAACCATGATTGAGCTCTAACGACTGCAAGTCGTCGCTTTTTAAGCGACGTTCTTCGTCGTTTCATCCGCAATTTAGAACCGCGAAAGTTAGGACGTAACGATAGTTAAATGAAGCTGTCTGATTTGAGTAAACTTAAAATCGTGTAATTCCTCCGTTTTACTTCCGCAAAAGCACGTTAGTTTCCTTTTCTTACTTGCAATTTCAGCAAAATGGTGGTACTTAGAGATAAACGTCTTACATGTTAGTAAAACACAGTATGTGTTTGGCGCATATGGAAACGTCGTACGATAATGTGATTAGACATAATTTATATTTCAACAAAATCTATAAGAAAGACATTGTACTTTTATTAGAAGGTATTGCGATATGATTCAGCACGGTGTTAAGTGATAAATTAATCAAAAGTTCACCTTCGTAATTTTAAAAATATGAGCTGATCGTAATTAATTTCGCGAGCTGATTGTAAACGTCTGTCTTAACATACTTTTACGGCAGCGGATCTTGAGGGATGTTAATTCACATTTTTGTGTTTCATTCAATGGACAAAATGTAATCGCAAATTACGCGATAATTACGTCATAGATTCTTTATGTACAACAGATGCTTACAGCAAGGTAGAGTTAACTGCACGGGTAGAAAAGTGATGGACGAAATCGCAAGTGAATTACGTTCGTCTCGCCACCGAAATACAACTCCTCCTCGCTCTAACTCCTACTCACTAGCGCGAGTATCGGTGTTACGCAACCGGTTCCATTGTTTACTCACGGAACGTTTTGCCGGCCGATGAACACAAAGTACGCATCCGCAATTCTAATAAGCGTGCGTGCATACCGTTCGAAAACGCGTGCACCGACGCGACGCGACGCGGTAGCACGCGCGCCCACGCCGCGAGAAAGACGAGGAGGGAACGAACGCGGCGAGAAACGTTCTCCCCGTATAGAAAAGGTTGTATCATCGAGGCTTACCTCGAGTGTGACTATCGGCAGCCTCCATCTAACGCCGTACATCTTCCACACTCCCGCTGGATTACGTTGTTTTACGATGGAAACGGCTTCTTACTACGAAGAGCGCCTATGAGGGGCCTCTTCGCCGCTCCGCGCAGCGACGGTTCACTTTCACTCGTCATCGGCGACCGGTTTTCCGCTGCTTTCCGCCCACCGGATGGCCCCCGATTTTCCGACCGCCGACATTTCAACACCGCAGTTTCGGCATTGTGGCCACCATCCCGCGAAGTTGGTCGCCTCGTTAAGTTCGTTTATCGGTCGGTCTGAATCGCGAAAACCCTTGAAGACTTTTATAGGTCGTACACCCGGCGAAAACTGCCGCGTGGTGGGGAAGTTTCCGAGTCGGAAGTTTTAGGGTAGACAGCGTTTTATGCGTGGCTCGATTAGAGCTAACTTGTAAGTCAATGTAAAGATGACGTACTATCGAATAATATTGTCCACAATGTGATTTTAGTTGTTAATATTAAAATACAGAATATACAGAAAAACAGTATATATGAATTAAAATTTGTAGACATCGAGGCGGAGTGCCAGGACGACTACATGAAGATCAGGATCGGCTTCAACGGTTCGTTCGCCGGGCTGCTTTACTCGGCTGGTAAGTAGCCTTTGAGAAATTAACATCGCGACGGGAATCGCGGACGTGCTCGCAGAGCATCCGCATGAAAAGGATCATGCTATCACGTCCGTACCGTACGACCTCACCGGCTCGCCTTGTTCGCAATCATCATCTCCGCGGACACAACGCTCGAACCACCGCGATGCTGACGAGCTAATGGCAGTACATTATCATCAAACGATCTCGCGGACGTTCGCCGTTAACAGAGAACCACAAAGGGGAAAAAGAGAGAGGAAGAGAATTTTCCTTTTGCCAAGGCGAACTCCCCTCGGACCAGCGTGGTCGAACCGCCTCGCTTCCGTTATTTTGAAAGAAACATACCGTGTTGCGCTCCTCCTCCGCAGGATACACGCGATGCACCTGCAAATAGCACGTCCTTGTTGACCATCGTCGTGCTTCCAAACTATTCTATGCGTGTTCCTCCTCAGAGTTCAATGTGAATGAACGATCGTCTGCTTGCTTATTAAATCTGATCGCTAGTCTTCGAGTTGCTGACTCAATTCTCATCTACCAGTTTTAAGAATAAAATTTATTAGATCGATGCATATGAAACATAGCTTAATTTCCCAAGTTTGAATTTTTTAATTTATCATTTATTATTTCATGCTACAAATGAAAGTGAAATAGCTTTAGATTACATTGACAAGATGCATTGCAAAATTATTTACTAAATTATTGCACGAAAAACATGAACTACATCTGCTATGTATATTGAAAACATTTCGTATGCGCCAACCAAACACTTTTTATTATTTACAATGTTATTTATGATTGAATGAATTCTTAAAATTGATGCAATTTATAATTGTCACTAAAGTATGATATTCTATCGAGCGCGAGGAATTTGGAGAACGTCTTGAAAGTCGTTGACAATCAATTTCAATTGCAGGGTACTCTTACGATCCGGACTGCATGTACGTGAATGGGACGGGCCGCGATTATTACGAGTTCTACATCCAACTTAATCGTTGCGGCACCCTTGGTGAGAACACTCATCATCAAGACAGCCGAAAGAATCCTACGGTACGTAAGACAAGCTGTGTAACAGCAAACTCATCGGAATAGAAGCGCTGGCGTGGTTAAGATCGCAGCGTGACCACTTGCCTCTTTTGACAAGGAATAATAATGATCAACGTTCACGGAAAAATCGGCTAGCGATCGTTCAGCTCTTATTTCGCGATTCGTTTAACGATCGGCCGCGTCTCACAGCTCGATGTATTAATATACACGCGCGGTTAGAGACCCTTAGTAATAACGAATCATAAAGACAAGCCGATGCTAGTAATTCTGTTACGTAGCCCCGCTTATGATTTATTAAACGCGCCTGAATGCGAACTTGATTTATGCCGCCGCAAGACCGGGTACGCGCTCAACACGTGTCAAGATTAATCCAAATCTGTGGACGGAATATGATACATTTTTGTCTCGAACGTCGCTTTGATTCAATGGTATTTTTTTAGCACTTACTCGATGCTCGATTTCTTGTTGTGCTACAGAAAAACTTGATGTGGAACACGGTCACGGTGCAGTACAATCCGTTGATCGAAGAGGAGTTCGACGAACATTTCAAAGTTACCTGCGAGTACGGATACGACTTCTGGAAGACCGTCACTTTTCCATTCCTCGATGTCGAGTAAGTTACTAGAAATTTTTCTACTACTCTCGACAGGATGTTTTCAATATGTACAAATGTAATACAGAAATAATCAATATGAAGTATTTGATTTTATTACGGAAACCCGGAAGAAAACCCCGCATCGCGTTGTGTTACTAGTACCATTCGACGAATCACTTCTCGTAGATATCCTTATGAATCCAGTTGTAGATCAAACATATAAAAAGATGTTTTAAAGTAGTTATTAATAAATGTGCGAGAGCGGTTGAACCTGTCGCGTAATTTTCTATCGTCGTCCCAGTGCCGGTTAACGGGAAGTCGTTTCTAACAGAAGCCTCTAATGCGGATATCTTCTTCCAGAGTCGCGACGGGAAATCCCGTAGTGTTCACCCTGCAGCCACCGGAGTGCTACATGGAAATCAGATACGGTTACGGGACCACTGGAACTAGAGTGGCTGGACCAGTTCGCGTTGGCGATCCCCTGACTCTCATTATCTACATGCGCAGCAAATACGGTACAGCCGCACGCATTTTCGCTTTACGCTGCTCGTTACTCTTTACCTATGTATGTATATGCGTCCATTACGTTCGCCCGGAGGCCTAATCGCGTGGCGCTACATCTGCCGGGTGTTATTCGATGGGATAACGGGATACAAAGAGAGAGCTTCGGTTTCTCAAAACAAAAACCTTTCCCCATTCAACGACTTAACATTAGTTAATAGAGCTTTCGGTCTAACAATCAGGATCAATACGGAGTTCCCAATAGATCAAGGCCGAGGGCTTCTTATTAACATATAAAGAACTGATCAGTCAAAGCATAATACAACATCACTAGTGAAGTAAAAAGATCCTGGTACCCTTTTTCGAATGAGAGATTCAAAGCAACGATAATCACAAAACATGATTTTATCAAATCAGATATTTACACGAAACAAAAGTGACGAATTGGTTGTTTGTCTGACAGATGGTTTCGACATCGTTGTGAACGATTGCTACGCCCACAATGGTGGAAATAAGAGGATCCAACTGATCGATCAATACGGATGCCCGGTCGATGATAAATTGATCAGCAGATTCCGTGGATCCTGGTCGGAGAGCGGCCTCTTTGAGACCCAAGTGTTCGCCTACATGAAGACGTTCAGGTTCACCGGCTCGCCGGCTTTATACATTGAATGCGACGTGAGAATGTGCCACGGGAGATGTCCGGTAAGCGCAGTACGATCGATTTTTGATTACTATTCCCAACACGCTCAACGAGATCATGTATCTGTTGTTATACGATTCTATAATTGTACAGAGTCAACCGTGTCACTGGAGGAACGCCAAAAACGTGGCTAAACGTTCGTTGCCAGAAATCGGTGGCCCGTCAACAGCGGCGACCAGTCTTTCAGAAAACGTTAATCTCTTTCAATCGTTGCGCGTGCTGCAAGAGGGTGAGGCGGATACGGAATTCTTCCAGAATTCTACTACATCTGTCCGAAGCGGTAATTTCACTTGAAAATAACTGTATTTCATATACTCGTAATAATGGATTTATATTGATTTGGATTGTTTTTGCAGGTCTCAGTGAACCCACGAACGACCGAGTGTGCCTTAAATCATCGATTCTCAGTTCGATGATCGGGATCGGTTGCGGTTTCCTATGCTTAATGGCAGGAACAATATTGGCGATGTGCTCGCGAATGAGACGACAGGCCAGAGAGAAATTATTATCCGACAGTATAAGTTACATGACCCACAAGGGTAGAATCAACTAAACCGCGGCTCAGTTCGAATGTACAAGCGAGATTCTCCTTCCTCTTCTTCTTCTTCATACCGCTTCCGTCGGTACTGCCGCGTATCCGAGGAAGTCTTCGGAGGAACAGTCTTTGCTGATAATGCGAGGGGACGATCATGTCCGAGGACGGTAAACGGCCGAGCGCAATCTCGGCCGGTAAGCTCCAGTCGACGGTCAATAAGAAACGAAGGGGCAAGTTTAAAAAATGAACACGGATGTACTTAAAGAAAATGTATGTACATCTAAAGCGAAGCACACACATACTTAGATGAATAGTTAGAAAATTTAATTAGAAAAGTTGTAAAGGATTGTGATAAACACGGATTAGGCGTATACTTCTGTTTTGTTTTTCACAAATAGTAGATTCACCGTCGATGAAAGTTAGTCCGATAGATCGTTGACAATTACTGAATTTGCGCTTTCATTTCCTGTAAACGTTGTTCTTGATTATTTTCCTATCTTCGTTCAACGGCAAGTCGTTCTTCGCGAGTACACGCGAGTTGCCGCTCATCGATACGGAAGAGCGAAGGCGGAATTTAGAAGTCGAGGATTTTGCCACGGCCTCGTCGATCGTACGCGCGATCGGAACGAGTTTTGAATTCGAGCATCGCCGGATTATATTATATTTGACGAAACTGCTTTCGCTCACGCGAACGATATCATGCGAGGTTATCAATAAGTAATTAGATATAAAGGCGTAAATGCCGTTGCTGAGATTCAGTACTTTAAGCATGTATGTCTAATAAACATTACTCGCCATATTCAGGAACGCACAAATTATCTCGAGCTGCAGCTGCGTAAACAATTAATCACTGATGCGAAACGATTATTAGCCGATTTATAATTTACAACGCGAGCTATACTTCAATTTCACTTCCAGCTGCATCTTCGAGCAACGATTCAAAAACCGTAACGACTGATCCTGCTTTCACAGTTTCTGAATGTTCGCGAATAATGCATTATCGTATGATATTAAACAACGCTATGGAATAAACAATTACAATATCTAGTTAATACTTAATATGCATAACGATATACATATACGTAGCGTCCAAGTGTGTCTGGATTTCCTCTTATGTTCTTTTTCATACTACACTTTTTATATCATGTTTTAAAATTCTCGAGAGGCAGGAGCATCACGGAATTGCCACGAGCGTGAACGGTCAGCGAGGATTAAATAATATTTCACGAGATCACTCCGCGCGTGAATCAGGGGAAGAAAGAGAGCAAAAGCTAAAGAAGCTCGGCTCTCATCCTGAATAATTTGTTCCCAAATTTTCACGGAAGCCTCTTTCACGACGCGAAAATTATTTTCGCCACCGCGATGAAATATTAATTTCCCCTCCTGATCGTTTTCCAGAACCATTTTTGTACGTTCTCGTTTCCACGTATATCCGTCCACTACTTCTCTTTTTATAATCGTCAATTAGTAACAGGATTCACCTGCTCGATCGAATTACTTGTAAATATAGCATTGTACGATCCATAATATTTATAATTAAGCTCGAGTGTATCAAGGTTTCCAATAAACAATAGAAAGAAAATGATCGTTGAATATCTACCGACATTAGAACAACATTTTTAAGAAGTCAAATATTGATGACGCTATTCTTTATGCCCTGGAAACCGAGAAATTCACGTATCACAAGGGATCGCTAGCAGAGAATGCATCTCGAAGATTTTATTCGGTTTCCGTGTTTCTGGGAGCTATTCAACGGGGCCGAAAACCAGCGTGACGAAAGGGAGCTCTACCTGGTCGATTTTGAAAAATTCGTCGCGTTCCCAGGGCCACAATGGCCACGGCACGGAACGAATTGTGTTTTCCAAACAGGGTATCCTTCATCGTGATGCTTCGACGCGCTCAAAGATCGCCGCAAATGGCTCACGATCCACGGTGAAAAGTGAAAATCTACGCAATATCTCATCCGCAAAATGGATCCTGGGTCCCTCCATTTATCGCTCGATCCTCCCCCGATAACGAAAGAAAAATACGATAGTTCGTTTCAGGGCGAAGCAATGTATTATCGACGCCCTGCACTTTTCTTCGACGACACGACAAGACGAAACGTTCCCGAGTGCTTTTTGGATAGAGATAATTAATAAAGCCGTGGGTCTGTGAAATGTCTATGATTTTTCTGTGTGGCCCACGTTAATTTAACAAATGACTACACGACTCTTCCGTTTAGGTTTAACATTTTCTAGAAGAATTTTCCATCACCGTTTATCGACACAAGTGAGACTACTTATTTCTGTGTTAGTACCTCATAGAATTCTCCTGGTTAAAGGGTAATGACACCGGTCGATTTAGTAGCAAGCCAGAAGGGCGATCGGGCAATACAACACAGTAACGAACTGTCTCTTGTCGGCGAGCACGCGGCAATTAATCAAGCCGCAATAAATTAATTGCGGCTCGGGCAGAAATTAATTGCCACCCCGACAATAATTATGGCTAACGCAGAAATAATTATCGTGTGCTACGGCATAACGCGTTGATCACTCAGCGAGACGATAATTCGCTCGTAATTCGATATGTAAGTATATCTCGATCGAACCCCTATCCTTGGAACCGTGTTTAATTTCAGTAAAGAACCGCGATTAATAAATTAATAAATCGACGATACAAATCAGACGCTTGCAACGTTACAACGAATTAATGCATATACACCGAAGAAGGGTCACGCGAAATATCAGATTGCCTGCTACCGTTTTGCGCAATTTTATTACCCCGTTGAATATCGCTTATCGATTGGAACAGTAATTACATCGGGATCATACACCTTGCTCGAAGACGTCGTCATTTGAGAGTAATTCTCCACTGAGCGTTTTACTGCTCCGCTCCATCGCGAGACACTCGCATTAATTGTCGGGAGAATTTTTATTCGCTCGTATTTCGTGCGGTATTAAAAACACGCGTGGGTCGAAGCGCAAAACGCAGTTGAGAAAACAGAGTGAAAGTATTCCCAGGGAATGTTAAGTATCGATCGATCAATGAAAGAAAATGTGATCGAATTTTGATTACGATTACAAGTTAATGATAATATTTCTTACAATTCTTGAATCTTCTCTTCGCTTAAAGTCTTGCTAAGTAATTAAAGGAATTTAAAGGAAGCTGTGCCCTATGAGTCAATGTTTCAATCTTTTTTGATTTCGCACGTGTCTCTGAATGTGCAATTTCTGGATGGGTCCATAGATGTACAAAATGACGTATCTAACAGTGTTATGTAAAGTTAGGTAAGTTTAGGTAATGCCACAGCTTACTTTAAATATGCACGACTCGCGCAAGTAGCAGGTTCTGCTTTTTGTACACCAATCAGAAACAATCATGGAAATCGGAAATCACTGTGAACAAACGTGATCGAATCATTCCTGTTTCGAAAGTAGCAGTTCTAGCCATCACTAGTTGGGACGCATCGTTGCATAAGATCGCAGCAGAGGGAGCAGTAGGTATTAAAATGAATTAGTAAATATTCTTTATCAAAAGCAATCGAGTTATCATTGCGATACCAAGAGATTCTTATTAGATAATTTAAGAATTCACAAATTCCTTGAAAATATCTGTTGAATATCTGAGAATATACATTATTTTCCTGTTATACTGAACTTGTTGGACTTCAAAAAAGAAGGTTCTTAATTCGACATGATGAATGTCTTGATAACTGCTGAACCGATTTCCATTAAACTTGTTGGCTTATCATAGTTCAAGTTAGATAATGAAAGTTTTCTATCGATGCCTTTTTAGTTTGTAACATTTTCTTCTATTTTGGGTTGGTCGTTTCTAGAGTTGGTTTTATTTTTCACTAATAAAATAAACTTGTTATAAGAAGTCGTCGAACACAAGAAAGTGGAAGATTAATTTATTCAGTAACACGATTAGAATCTGCGCAGTACACACATATAACTTTCCAATTATCCAGGCACGCAATCGAGCTTCTACAATTACTCGGTCCTTTCGATCCGCTCTTAATCCTGTTACGAAACGAGTCGCAGGATTACTTTTCATTACTTCACGAACGACTCTGTACTCGTCCTCGAATACGGTATCATCGCGTATCAAGTATCTCGCAGGCTAGCGGTCGAACCACTGCGCACGTATTTACGTGTACGTGTACACTTAATAAAATAGAGGTGTGGAGTTCCGCGATAGCGGCTCGCGGAAGTTATGCCCGGCCGGAATCGCCGTTAAGTCGTGGCAATGTTTCCTGAATTATTGCCGACCGAGGACTGCAAATAACACAGCGATCCACTCTGTTTCCCGATTCCCCGCACTACCAATCCACGCCACGATCATTTCCGACCCTTATCGAATTGGTTGCATTTCATCAGCGATCATTTAATAAGTAAAAGTGTAATTAAATGCGAGCCTGATAATCCGGTTTCATTCTTCAGCTTCTGTATATTCATTATAATTCACTTTGAATTGTACCATTGCGTTTAAAAATAGAGAAAAAATGATGATACATGGCACCCTTCATTTCTTGTCGACCCTCGAAAACTTTTTCACTGCCTTTCGCGCGTTTACTTTTAATTAAATCATTTTATTAACCAACCGATTCCCGGTTGTGATCTATAAACGAGATTACTGATCCGATAGAGGGAGTATAAACGAGGTGGTCGTCAGATAAAATCTGATGAATGCTCCTCGTCGATTTCCTCTGTGACGTATCTGTGAGTATAACTCAAGGACTCTCGCGTGATTTCGCATGATTATCGCGGACAGGGATAATGAGAGTGTCCCCGGAGAAAAATGTGATCAAGGATCCGAGAATTCGGTTCCACGTTGAAGTCGTGGCAAAACGTTTCAGAAAAAATTGGCGATATAAAATCTTTCAGCTAATTGGAGATAATTTAATGTAAGATATTTCAAAGTTTCGCTGATAATATTCCAAAAAAAGGATAGTCTGGTACACTTCATACTCTCATTTCGTTGAAACCTCCACTACAGTCTTTTGCATAATAATTATCTTTCGCTTGCTTATTTTCTTGGCGCGAAACAAGGGAGCCAAGGATAACGAGTATACAGGGGCGATTTTACGAAACAAAAATGCTGAAAACTGCGTGGCTAGAAAAATAGGGAAGAGTCAATAGAGGAGTCGTTTCTTGTCGTTGTTCGTACGAGCAGTCGGTTATCAAAAGCAAATTGGCACCTTCTTTTTCATGCTAATATGCACGATGGCTCGATGCTTGAGAAATCGATCCGCGAACGAGGTATGGTCCCTAACGTCTCGGTCAATCAAAACGATAGCATCTTAATGAGAAAGAAATCAACTGAGTAATCGCGAAAATGATACCGTCGGGTGAGCCTCAAACGCGAGCCACGTGTTAATAATACGGATTTCGTGGAAAATTGAGGTACTACTATTTGAAATTCTCAAGAAACATTTTTTGTCAATGACTGACCAACAGTGATGGGTTTTCGATTCATGTCATCAGTTTTCTACTTAGCTCGTAGAAAACCTGCAGAACACATCGCCCACGCCTCAGTCGAGCAGATCAAGTCCGACCACGTCATTAACGTCGAAAACCATACTTTCGACGTTAATGAATAATAATCAGACGCAATCCATACGACTGAGGCACAAACGATGCATTCCACAGATTTTCTACAATTGAGTCGAGAACCCATCATTGCTGCCCAACCATTGCATTGTTGCAAACACGGATAGTACTACAATTTCATACATTCTTGTACCGGTAAATATCGTGTACACTCATATAGAATCATCAGTGGTAAAAAATGAATGGCGTATAAGCGCGAGTGCACGATCCTGTTATTTGTTATTAATCAATGTTAATCAGCATCCTGCGGGACGGTAGGAGGAACTTGATCTATGACTCGACGACAGCTTTATTAATCAACGATTGCTGATGTCAGTCCAATTTCAATTACCACGGAATATCATTATGGCTCCGGTGTCGTGAGGAGATATTGCGCTCGAAGATTGATACGCTTGCAGAATGCTTACTTTGATTACAACTAGACGATTCATCTTGGAGTTTATCAATTGTTCGAGTAAAGCGAGAGTAGATTGTCTAAACATTCACACACTTATTTCTATACCTTTAATTCAGATAAATGACAATTTCCAATGAAACAAGGCATAAAATGTTGGACACTATCCCGATAGGATTCGATCGGATTAGCATAGATTTCTGTGTTTTTCCGTAGGTAAAGGGTCACCGTGTAAACCAGGAATTACTCGGTAGTAAATTCTACCTGTACGAAGTATGAATGAATGGGGTAAGAAAAGGGGAAGGCGCGAACCAATATCGCAACTCGTGCAGGGAACGGCTCTTAATGAGCGACTTCCTAAAGCGTCAAACTCGTCCCCGCGACTATCGCCGCAACCATAACTTTATTAAACAGTAATAAAAAAAGGGCAGCGAGTACAAATGAATGCTTTTAATTGGCGTCGACGTTAGATTGCGTTAACCAAGTTTGCTGCGCGTCTTGCATAATAATTATTTAAACGCCATCGGTTTATGAATAAACGAACGAGGTGAAAGTTACCATGTGCCAGGAGTATGGATAGATCTCTATCGATCATCGTGGTTTCTCTCCTTGATAATCTCCTCAACCGGTCGATGGGGAGGCAATCTATGGAAATTGGTCCCGATGCTCGGCGAGAGGAAGTTACATGTCAGGGATCGATGTTGACGCACTTTAACTTCACCTGGACGATTTAGGAGCCGACGTTATTTTTCTCTGTCTATCTCTCTCTCTCTCTCTCTCTCTCTCTCTTCTTCTTGCCTTCACCGCCTCCTATCCGCTGAAAGATCGGCACATAATGAGGCTTAACGATCGCCCTAAGAGTACGTTGACGCGCACCCGGGCTCCTCACGAAGCCGACGAAAAATGAATACGTGATTCACGGCGCGCATGCACGCCACTGTTCTCCATCGCCGAAGAAAAACCGGCGCAGGGTGAATCGATATTCGAGGAGCTAACTTCTCACCGTAGTCTCGGACACGTTCGTTAAATTTCATTCCAAAGTTTATTCGAGTCCTGCGAATCGAGGTTATCGAAAAGATTAGATAGAAATTCAAGCTTTTATCCCTAGTAGAAATACATATCTTCGGGTGACACCAGTTACTGGCCAGTAACTGGTTAGTAATTTCTAGACACAATTTTATAATCGACGACCAAGTTCCGGTCATTGATAAGTGAATAATGCTGTTTACTGAATCTTTAAGTACTGTTCCTACTCGGGATTTTTTCTCATGATACGCAAAGAGCCGTAAGGAATGATGTTGAATTTCTTCGACAGTCGGTGAACGAATTTTATAATATACAGACTAGACCGTGGAGCAATATTCCAGAGTTAGTCTAACGAGAGAATAATAAAGTATTTATACGGTGTTGGAATTATAAAAAAGAACCTTAGAGGTTTTCTAAATGAGACCCAATTTATAAAAAGGGGAAGTAATAAAACTTTAGTTTAAGGTTCACTCTGAGGCGCTCTGGTCATTATTCAATGAGATTATACCAATATTTAATAAAAAATCGTAGTTACTACGCTTTGAATTTTAGGCAATTTTATATTAAAGAGAAATTCTTCTGTGTAAAATAAGAACCAAACCTGGAACGAACCTTAAAACGCATTTTATCTTGATTCTCTGAGAAATGAAGACGTAGAATCGAATGGCGTAAACTCATAGTTTACACTATTTTTGTTTGCTTATCGATGAAACGGAGAAAAATTTACCGACAAATGTTAGAAAAGTCATGTGACTCTTAAAGAACCGCTGGTCAAACAATCGTACGCTCGTTAGTTGGATGGAATGAGAAATTTGTTTACCGTAAGTCCAGTTTAATCTGAATTACACGGTAATTGGATCGCGCGAATGAATTTAAAATTTAAACGAATGGAATTCAACTACAACGTTCCTCGATTGCATCCGAATAAATATGCATGAGAGGTGATGAGTAATCGGTTCTCGAAAAAATGTTCGGTCCACGCTCGATTAATAAATGCACGTGTTCGAAGACATTAGTATCCAGTTCCGTATACAACTCACCGACTATAGATGAAATTGGATAGATAGAGGCTTTACGATGTCCCGAACGTGTATTCTGTATTACTGTGATAGCCGCGATCAAAGGATTGGTGCTCGCTACAAAATTGATTTATCCAGTTACCGGAAACGATCCTAGGCCACGGAACGGCGTTCGAGGGATAGATAAATAGGAAAATCTAGACTCACCTACACTCATGCGGCGAAGAAAATGAGGAGAAGCAAACGGATCGAATTAGCGTGAACAAACTCTGTTTGTTCCCGAGTGGAAAGCGACGGCGAATCTCGAGCCAAGAAAAATAGACGGGAGAAGAAAGCCGGGGTAGGTAAGGAGAAGCTAAACGCGGCGTGGTAGGGCTAAGAGCTAGATCACCTAAGAGCAGATAGAGGAATCAGAAAGAACAGGCGGAACGCGGTAGAGACAGAGGGAGACGCGTATGAACGGGATATAAAACGAGAGGGTGAAAACGGGGTGAGCGAGATGCTCGGCAAGTGGAGAGGGACAATCTGGAAACCTGACGCGATAATGCCTGGAGGGGATAAATCGAGCACTAGCAGGAAGAAGACGAACACGGCCGACTAAAAAGGACAACCGAACAGGGGCAGCGTACTGGATCACTGGACGAGCAGATAGATAGAGGAACCAGAAGTAAAACGGAGAACGCGCCTCGTCCTGGTGCGACGAAGAGGAGGTTTCGCCGAGGAGTGAGGGTACGAGTAAACACGAAGACGGTGGAGGCTCGCGCGGACGCGAGTGGGGACGAATAACCCATCGTACGCAAAGGTGAGACCGAGACGAACGTGCGAAGGTGCGCGAGTGAAAGTGGGAACGAGGAACTGGTCCCGTAGAGGGGAAACCGGCTGCGCGGATTGCCTATCAGCGGTTCCTTTCGTGGAAGTGGTGGAAAGCTGGGCGGCCACCGGTTCCCGATTTCTCGTGGCAGCCGACAGATGTCGAGTGGTCGCGCCCCTAGACGGGGTCTTCACCCCTGCAGAGGTCACCTCAGGGGCGTAGCGGACGTTGTAACGACGCCCAGGAACGCCCATCGTCGACCCTCCCGCCGCTTCCTCGCCGCAGACGCTTCACGGCAACCAACTGGACAACCAGCCCGGCCTGGATCCACAGCGTCGCACAACGGTTCCGTTGAAACCCGCGTCTGCCAGCGCCGTGCACCGACTCCACGCTTCCACAGGATCGTCATCCGGAGCATCGTATTCTCTTCGTCTCTCTTCCGGGTCTCTGTTCCATCCGAACCGTTGCCCGGCGTTCTCGTCTCGGTTCCATGCTCGCCGTCTTTCCGTTCGGTGCGTGTTGATCCCTGTGCTCGACACCATCCGTGTACCCGGTTACCGTTCGAGGTTGGAGGGATCATCCGGCGAAAGAGAAACGCGAAAGTGAGAGTGCGATGGATTATGGATGGGTCGGGAAGATTTCGAGGCGGTATAATTGGTTGGTAATCACCGGCAGCTTCGGTGAGAACTATATCGTTCGTAATCGGTTGGACTATTGGCTGGAGTAATGATCCGGCATCTCGAGTGGACTGGTTCTTAGTGTTGTTACCATCGCAGAGACGGTTCTTCCGGGAAGATGAGAGATAAATTCGATAATCGTCGCGACAGTCCATCATGAACTGGGCTGAACAGTGTCCGTCGGAAAGAAACTGGGGAAGAATAGCTAGTGTTCGATAAATGACATAGTAAACTGTGCGGATATATTAGCGAGGGTAGTGCGCACCGTCGAAAGAATTTGTCATACTATGTTACTAACGTGTCTGGAATTCGTTGTTCATCACACACTGGCAGCTACCAATGATCGGACAGATGCCCTGGTCAAAAATGATGATCCCTCCAGGCAACGTGCAGCGAACGGAATCCGTTAGGTAGGTACACTAAACGGTCCCAAAACTCGTCCGGTCATCAACAACGAGTATCTCTAACAGTCGTCATGGGAAGATTAAAGTAGAATAAGCTTTAACTCCTATCGTGCCGGTAAACTGGACGACAGAGTACGGGAAGCAGTTCAGCTGACTAAAAAAAGAATATTTAGAAAAACATGTCTAACACGCCACCGGAATCGTCCACCGGTTTAGATTCGAACGATCTCCCCGAGATCAGACAGAATCACTTGTCGACGCGGCTCGACTCTGAGGACTCCGAGAAACGAGATCAGATACGAGGAAGTGACGGGAACAACGTGGACAGCGATTGCGAGAGCGACACCAGCGAGGTGCTGAGCGTCGGTAGCGAACCGACGCCCACCAGCGTCGTCGGGATCCATGGCTGCGGTTCGGTCAGATACGACCAGGAGTCGGCGAGCAGCCGCGGCGACTTCCGGGACGAGGATAACACGAGAACGTCGGCGACACCATCGCCTTCGAGTTCGGCGAGCTGCAACGATGGATTCTACCAACGAACTTCTAACCATATCTCCGCGCCGAGTCCCCCGGCTTATAGTCAACCGCCGTCATCGCCTGCTCCATCCTCGGTCAGGTCACCGGCTTCTTCCTCGGCCACTGCCTCGTCCCCCGGCCGTCCCGAGGGTATCCAGGACGTTATAGTGCCCAGGTATCAGTCCACTCATCCGCCACACTTGTTACCGCGATATTCGTCGAGGGAAACCGAAATTCCCGACTATCCGGCCCGCGTTCAACACAGCCTGAGCCACGAGATTGTTTACCCTACCGTGGAGAGGCTACATAGAACCCCTATCAGCGTTCCTCTAGTGACCAGACTGTCGTTATCACCGCCGTCGGCCATGACAGTTACCGGTTTGCAAGCTACTACCCCGGTCCTCCACCCCACAGTTTGCAGGGACCTTAGGGAAACGGCTTCGCTGATGCCGCATCCCGGTCAGCATCTGCATCACACGAATAGTCACGTTCACCTTCATCAAACGTCCCAAGTGCAACACGTACCGGCGAACTCGGTGCATCAGCATCGATTGTCGGTTAGCAAGATTCTACAGCGGGAACCCGGTAGTCCTGCATCTCCCGGGGCGAGGGAAGAGAACGGGAGAACCATGCCTGGCGCTAACAGTGTTCAAAACAACGGTGTTAACAACAACCACCACAACAATCATAACAACAACATGCAACATCAGCCGAGTTTAAAGTTCAGTATAGACAACATATTGAAGGCGGACTTCGGCAGGAGGATCACCGATCCGATCTCGTTGAAAAAGTCGCGTCCGAAAAAAGTCAGCTCGAGACCTATCGACTTGACCAAGGACTTCCTAGAATCGGTATCGGAGAGTTCGGAGAAGAGTAATTCGGAAACGAGCTCGGCGACGAACAACGCGTCACCCGGCGTCGCGACGGCCGGGAATCCAACGTCGAACGCGTCCGGACCACCTGCGACCGAAGCCGGGAAACAGTTGCCGTGGCCAGCCTGGGTCTACTGCACCAGATACTCGGACCGACCTTCCTCCGGTGAGTTCCGTTCGCTTCATGTCGTTCCGCTGTGTACGTGACCGTGGTCTTTCCTACTAATGACAGTCATTAACGCTTATAGATGGTAGATACGCCGGGTAATCTATCGCTATACGGTTTTTACACCATGTAAAAATTTCAAACAGGTGCTGATATGCAACTTCGTTAACTCGGCTGGTTAACAAAGAATTCTTATAAAGAGGCAACGTCGTAATCTTTATAACTTATGAAAGTCAAAATAGTCTCACGTCGGTTGCGCAACTCGAATCGATACGAAGAACCGCGTCGATCGTTCCACACGGTTCGTAGATAAATTTCCACCGAACATCGGAATAATTGTTGCGCACGGCGAAAGGTCAGTTTAATATAATCAACCAAAGGTATTTCCTGCATACTCGGTCGTGATCTCCGTTGGATTTATTCCTCCCTCCCCCCCGTAACGCTCGCGGAGGTATAATGATTTTTGTCCAGGAGGGATTAGACTCGTGGATACACTGTTCGCTGTTAGCGAGCGATTGCCCAATAACGGAATTTCTCATTAGAACAGTTTAATGGCCGAAAGTTCATCAGCTCATAAATTTAAACGGTACAAAGGAATTATATTTCGTTGCTTAAAAAAGTCGTTATGCAAGCGAATGGTTTCTTACGGATTAACGCTCTGTCACGATTCCAACAATTTTATTTAGATTATCAACAATCAGGCCTTTTTGTTAGCAACGGTTAACTAATTATCTCGCGAGTAAAAACGTGCTCGAGACGATATCGCAGGTATAAATAAAACTCGTCGGTAACGTTCATCGAATCCGATTCACGTCCGAGATAGAGAGGAGCGCCCGATTTTAATTGAGATATTAATAATTCATCGAACCACGAAACACGGAAAATAAAATTCATTATAGTCCCACGCTGTAACAGTCTCGTAACTCTCTCGTTATTACATCACTCGGATTGATTAAGACGTTCGATCCACGCGTTAACTTAATTATCGGTGAATACTGGCCGGCTCGTACGAATTCGTGTAAAAATGAACGATTCCGTTCGATCGATTTCTATCCCGGAATATTCAGCGAGTTTTTGTTCATCAGTTTTAAACTGAAAATCCCTCTACGGCTTTGGTTTTCGCGACACGCTAATTAGAGATTTATACTGTCGCCTCTCGGCGGAATTGTTTCCACCGGTTTCACGAGCAGATGGATGACCCTTTGAAACGACACAGGAAAACGTGTAATTACTTTACTCGCCGACCGAGTGCCAGCTTGATGAATGGTAGAAAACGTTTCTTCGTGTCACTCATATCTGATATACGCTCATTGTCAGGAAACAATTGTTAAGCACTCGGGAGAAATAAGCTGCTCTCTGCCCCATAAATCAACCGCGATATGCAACCCGACTATTTCTCGGCCGCCCGGTTCGCTACTTACGCGTACAACAATTTCCTATAGGTCATTCAGTTGTCGTATTCTTATGCAAACCATCGGTAAATAATCGCACCCTATTAGATCGGTTCTCTGTTTTCGTACCACGACTACACGGCACTGATCGCGCGGCATTCTCCTCGCGGGTGTCCCTCTTTACACCCGAACCACGCACCACGTGTACGCCGCGGATGCGTGTTCGTTGAAAATTATTACTGCCCGCGCTCGATCGCATTGTGTTAGAAAAAAATCCGCGGATAACGCGACTGGTTTGCCGTCGCCTCGCCACCCTATTGTATTTTAATACACGGTCCTGTGCCGTGTCGGGACATGGCTAATGGGAATGCTACGAATTTCTCACGGTCATTCTTTCTCTCATCGATGAACGCATGTAGCTACTTGGCATCTTTCTATTCGAAAGCTACTAGTTATTAGATGCTTCCCACCAGGTAAGCTGCGGATTTTTATATAAAATGAAACATTTATGGTATCAATTAAAAAAAATGCGTTTTAAGTAGCAATTTATTTTATTATTTATCTGCTTGAAACATTCTGTCTAATCCTTTCCCATTACATGTACAATTTGTATATTTTATATGAATATGTAAAATCCGCAGTCTACTACAAATCATTAGATTTTGTAAAACATTCTTACATTGGGACAATATTATATGAAATAATGTACTATATTTAAACGTCTGCTCAGAGATTAATGCAGTCTGTTTGTCGAATGAAGTCGTGCCCTCGCAGAACACACAAAAGTACTAAATTCTCGATTAATAACGAATAGTTTTATTCGGGCCGGTTGCGTGAACGCCTCGCTTTGGACAAACGACAATATTGGATCACGTTCCTATTATGTCTTTACAGCGCGTAATTTCGCGACGGACAGATAAATAGTCCGTTGAAACGGCCACGATAAAGCTTAATCACTGTTATTGCACCGGTCGTGCGGCTTGATATCGCACACCG